GCAGGACAGGGGGTCACAACACTGCCCCCAGGACGTCCCCTCCACGGCCAGGTCCAGGCCCTTAGAATTCCAGAGCTGACCTGGGACTGCCGGTTCTGGGGAGCCTGTTTCCTCTGCTGGTCCTGAGGCTGAGAAATCTCCTCTCTGACACCCCGGGTCACAGGTGGAGAGAGAGACGCTGAAGCCTGAGACTCAAGGCCTTTTAAAGCTTTCCTCCTCCTCTCCCTCCCAAACCTTTCCCCTTTCTGGGAAGCCGCCTGCCTCTCTAGCCAGCCTGGCTGAGGACTAGCCCTTCTCAGCCAGCAGGACCAATGGGCTCACCAGGCTGTGGTTGCCATGGCGACCCGAGCTGGGCGGGTAGGAGCCTGGGTGGGGCCTCAGGAGCCATCTTCCTTGAGTCCAGTGCAGCCTTCCCTTGGGCATCATCATCATCATCGTCATCATCATCATCATCATCATCGTCATCATCGCAGCCCCCTTAACTCACCAGCATCTGGGCCCCTCTTCTTAGCCCCCGCCTTTGTTGGAGACCTGGCCCTTCTTCCAGTTTGGTGCCCAGGACAGAGCATGAGGGTTTGTTTGTAAGTCAGACAGGGTTTGAGCCCTGGCTCTGTTATTCCCTAGTGATCTTGGGCAGATCCTTGGCCCTCACCGAGCTCTGGTGTCACGTGTGCAGTGGGAATGACAGGCCCAGCACAGGGTGGGGTTGAGTAGGCACCTCTGGTGCACGGGGAGGCCTGTGTGCAGCCTGTGCTCGGCTCTGTGGCTGTGTGTCCATGGAGACGTGTGCACACGTGTGTACCCATGTCCCATGCGCAGGCTCCCCTGGGTGCCCTCTCTGCAGCATGGGGCAGAAAGGATGATCTGAATATTTGGATTCCGGGTCTTCGTGAGCTAGTCAAGGAAACTCGGCGATTGCTGCCACTCTGAACCTCCCCCATCCCGCCCCTGACAGTGCCAACCTCCAGGACCTCTGGGCTCTCAGGAGGGACTTGGGTGACAGTCACTACCCAGCCAAAGGTGGCGTCCACGGCCCTCCTGGAGCCCTGTGTTCTCCCAGAGAGGCCCAAAGTGCAGGTCTGGTTGAAGCAGGGAGAGAAATCCCAGGGCTCCCCACCCTGTCTTCTCCTGGCCTCCTTTCCACTCCCAGCCCCCTGAGAGGCTCCTGGGAACCCAGTTTGAAAACCACGGGGCCTGTTCCACTGGTATGAGGTGGTGATGGCAGCACCCGACACCCAGAAGGATAGTGAGAACTGGAAATAAGAGAATCGTTACTGACTGCTGAGAACCCATCATTTCACGGCTGAGGCCCAACACAGATAAACACTTGTCCCCGTGGGACCAGCCCTGCTGAGCCACCTGGCATGTGTGAAGTCCTGTGAGGGCCGTCCCTGCTCAGTCCTCCCAGCACAGGACCTTTGAGGCTGATCCTGTCCTCCTCTGACAGACGAGGGCACTGAGGCCCAGGGGGCGGGGCTGGCTGAGGTCACACAGCCGGCCCTGAGCCTCGGTCCCCACCTCCGCGGCCTGCCCTGCCCTGGGGACCTGGGGCTCCTCAGTCACAGACCTGCCTTCCGTGTGCCCCTGCAGAGCTGCCGTCCTCGGAGCACCTGAGTGTGGCGGACGCCACCTGGCTGGCCCTCAATGTGGTGTCAGGCGGCGGCAGCTTCTCCAGCTCCCAGCCCATCGGCGTGACCAAGATCGCCAAGTCGGTCATCGCCCCACTGGCCGACCAGAACATCTCCGTGTTCATGCTCTCCACCTACCAGACCGACTTTATCCTGGTGAGCTGCCGCCCGCGCACCAGGGCCCTGGGCGACATGGACACCCCCTCCGACGTGCTCTGCAAAGTTCTGTGGCCCCTGTGCTGTGATCAGCTCAGAGAGAGGTCAAGGGTACCTCGGGGTCATCAGTTGAGTGTCAGCATGGCCCAGGCTGGGCTCCAGGTCTCTGCCCAGCCCCACCCGCCACCTGCCTTTTGCATGGGCCATGCTTGGTCTGACCTGGAGGCCAGGCAGTGGGGGCCTGTGTGCGTGGGGTGCCCTCCCAGCCAGATGCCTGGCTGCCCACTCTTCCCCCTCTCCTGGAGTGGCAAGTGTATCTGGCCCCGGGGCCAGCAGCCTGGCCACCATGTCATTCATTCTCTTCTCCCATGGGGCGGGGCCCCCTTCGAGAGCGTTGGCCTGGGGAGGGGCAAGGACGTGTCTGGGCACAGCACTCAAGAAGGTAGAGTGGGGCGTGGACCTGCACCCCTGGCCCTCGGTGCAGCGTCTTCTTCCGTCTGCGTCATCCCTGCGCTTCTGGGGAGGCGCACGCCCCGGTCCCAGGCTGCGTCCCCCATAGGACAGTGGGGACAAGCACAGGACAGGCTGGTTCCGGGGGCAGGATCTCAGAATGCAGGGGTCAGTACCCCCAGGCCCACTCCACTCAGCGATCACGGAACACTCGTGGCCTTGACTCCCTGTCCCCAGGTGCGTGAGCGTGACCTGCCCTTCGTCACCCACACCTTGTCGTCAGAGTTCACCATCCTGCGGGTCGTCAATGGCGAGACGGTGGCAGCCGAGAACCTCGGCATCACCAATGGCTTTGTGAAGCCCAAGATGGGTGAGTTGGGGGCAGGGGGTCTGTGCAGGGGGGACCTCAAGATGGTTCCAGGTCCAGCCCCTGGGCAGCCCCATTCTCAGAGCGTTAATTGAGTGCCAGGCATAACATGGTACCGCAGTCCTGGTCAGACCCTGCTCCCAAGGTCTAGCAAGGGCGGTGGACGTGGAAACAGCCAGTGATGGCCAGAGGCCACTTCTGACTCCGCCCAGGGAATCAGGGCAGGCCACCCAGAGGCAGTGACTCGAGCTGAAGCTTGGAGCACAAGTAGGTGCTAAGCCAAGTGGTGAAGGTTGGGAAGGGCATTCCATGTAGACAGCTCAGCATGTGCAAAGGCCCAGGGACCTGGGGATGAGTCTGGAGAGTCTGGAGAGTCAGGAGAGCTATAGGTGGTAGTGGAGGCTGGAGGAGTGACAGGAGCCAGGGCTCGCAGGGCCTGCAGCGGGACCTCCTTGGAGCAGCTGCCAGCTGACCTGCCCCACTTCCTGGACCGCTTCCTGCCCCACACTGCAACTCTGCTCCTGCCTCAGCACCCCTGTCTCTGTGTTCTCACAGTCCAGAGGCCCGTCATCCACCCGCTGTCCAGCCCGAGCAACAGGTTCTGTGTCACCAGCCTGGACCCCGACACGCTGCCCACCGTTGCCACACTCCTCATGGATGTCATGTTCTACTCCAACGGGTAGGGCCCCC